CGTTCCCCAGATTAGGAAAGTTTTTAGCTATTATTTCTTCAAATATACTTTCTGTCCCTTTCGCTCTTTTCTTCTTCTGGAATCCCTATAAAGCAAATGTTACAGTGCCTGATGTTATCCCAAAGGTCTCATTCTATCCTCATCAAAAATAATTTTTTTTCATTTTGCTGTTCTGATTGGGTGCTTACCACTATTCTGTCTTCCAGGTTCCTAATCTGTTCTTCTGTATTAAAATTAATGTGCTGTTGATTCCTTCTAGTGTATTTTTCATTTCAGTTATTATATTCTTCACCTCTAATTGGTTCTTTATTACATTTTCTAACTATTTGTTGAAGTGCTTTCTGAGTTCCTCTATTCTATTCTCAAGCTTGTTGAGCACATTTATGAACATTACTTTAAATTTTTTATCAAATTACTTATCTCCATTTCATTAGAGTTTTTCTGTTTTTTTTTCTTGTTTCTGCATTTCAGACAATTCTTCTGTCTCCCCATTTTGTTTGACTTTCTGTGTTAGCTCCTATGAGTTAGATGAAATACCTATCTCTCCCAATCTTTAAAAAATGGCATCTGTGTGCCATATAGTTTTGGACTAGCAACTTTTGTCTTTCAGCATTTGCAAGATATTGTTCCACTGTTTTTTATTATTTGTTTTTAGTCATTAAACTATGCTGTATTTAGGCAAGTTTTCTTCAGTTATTCTACTTGGGATTTACCATTATTTCTTCAAATATATATATATATATATATGTATATATATATATATATATATATATTCTCTCTCGTATTCTTTTACCTCTTCTTCTGGGACTTGGATTACACATATATTAGGACTTTTGATGTTATCTCTGAACCTCTGTTCACTTTTTTCCAAAATATTTTCTCTATTCTGCTGATTGGATAATTTCAACTGATCTACAAATTTACTGACTCTTAACCTGTGTCATTTCTATTCCGCCCTTAAGTTCACTTGGTGATCTTTTTATTGCAGATATTTCATAATTCAATTCCAGGACTTCCATTTGTTTCTCTTATGTTTCTATTTCACTGCCATTTCCTATCTTTTCATTCATTTCAAGGATATTTTCTTTTACTTTACTGAGCACAGTTATCATAACTGCTTTGGTCTTCATATGCTACTTACAAATATTTTAGGGTTGTTCATCTTTTAACTGTTTTATCTCTTGAAAATGGACTATATCATCCTGTTTTTTCTTCATATATCAAATAATGTTGGGTTTGCAACCTAAAAATAAAAGGCTTTTGAAAGTAAGAAGCAACAAGCACTTATTTGAGATTAAAAAAAAGAATAGTTATTCAGGAAGCACCGATTCAGGCAGAAATCCAAGTAGTGTTCCAATTAGGAGACAGAGGCAAGGAGTATTTATGAGAAAGGGAAGGGAAACAATTACATGAATAGAAGGAAGCCATTTCTATTGGCATAGATAAGCTAACATAGAGATTCTAATTCTAAACAATATTTTAAATTTTCAGTCCAGTAGTCAGCAGTAGGGTAGTCATAACATCTGCTTTCATGTTATCTTTGCAAACAGTTCTTTGGGACTTTAGTGATGCTTTAGATCCAGTCCAAAGATTATTTTGTTGTTTTTTTAACATTCCAAAAGTTTGAGGCATAAGAGGTGCAAGACAGCTCTTCCGGCATGGCAGCTGCAACTCCATTTTAGTGTGACTCCATTTATTTTATTTTATTTTTTACAGATTGTACCCTGAATGCTATGAATATTATATTGTTGAAAATATAGGTTTTGTTATATACCTCCAAAGAGAGTTGATATTTTTGTTTTAGCAGGCAGTTGACTTCAAATTTAAATATTTCTTGGCTAGAAGCTTAAATCTCTGCTCACTTCTTTTTTCTAATTGGACTATTTTAACTTTCCCCAACGAGTGGTTCAGTGGTCAACTAGATACTTGGACATAGCTTATACACTGCCTCTGGGACTCCCCTTCTCTGATTCTCCTCACTTTTCAATGACTTTAATTATCCTGTACTCTGTTCTTTGCTTTTTCAGTTCAGAAAGACTGGTGATTTTTTGTTTGTTCTGTTTTGTTTTTATCAGAGTTTCAGCTTCCTACCTGGGCTCCTCCAAATATGGCCTGCTTTATAAGCCATAAAAAAACAGAAAGATTACTTGTTCTGGGCAGATCCTATCTTCCAAGTGTCTACTCCCTCCCAGTCTGCCTGCTTTGTTTCGATCTCCAATGCATTCTGGGATATGTTTTTTTGTATTCTGTTCAGAGTTCATAGTTGTTATCTGAAGGAAGATTGGTCTAGAATATTACTGGGCTATCTTAGAAGCATAGTTTTAGCAGTGTTTAAATTTTTTTTATTTGAAAACAAAAAATTAAATAACATAAATATAGAGAATACATTTTAGGCCATGTTAGTGCCATGGATGGTATCAAATACTGTTTGAGGTAAATCCCTCCTCATGTCACTTATTTTAAAAAATCGGCAAACTCTTGCCCATCCTTCTATACTTAGGTAAGACATAGAAACATTTCTGGATCCCCTCCACTGCGACTACATGGGTGAGGTTAGAGTTAGGAGTGTCTTGGAATGTTTTCAAATCACTTGGACTTTCCTTTATCACTGCAATTTCATGTAACTATAATTGCCTGTTAACACTGCTGTTTATCCCATTACATTGTGGGATTCTTAAAGTGGATATTGTCTTAATCATCTCAATGCCATGCGAGTTGCCAGATCAATAATTGCTGATGTCTCATGAGTCTTTAATAAATGACAGGCATGTGCTAAGAGCTTTGCTCTTATCTCATTTATCTCTTTCTACAACCCTTTAATATGAGCACTGAGTTGATATAGCCCCAATTTTAACAGATAAGTAAACAGGCTGAGAACATTAAGGACTCTGCCCCAGGTTACACAGACAGTAAGTGCTGGAGCCAGGACTATAAGTTAGCAGCCTAACTTATTTTCTGGATAGATGAATAAATAGAATTTTTGGACCCTTGACTGTTTTCTAGATGTTGTGGAACAGTATGAATGTGTGCATTTGAGCAAGTCCCCTTTATCTGGGCCTTAGCTTCTTTATGTGCCCTCATATCTTGACACTTTGTCATTTCTTTTTAAGTTTTCAAGTAAGAAAATATAGTTTTTCAAGTAAAATATGATTCTCAATGCAAAAATTCAAACATTATAGACTAAGTTATTCCTTACCAGAAGTTAACTATGATTGCTGGATTTGTTTGTTTCTTCTAGCCCTTTAATATACACCTACATATAGTATTATTTTCCTGTAACTGTTAGCATACAGTCTATATATTTATGCAGTTTGTTTTATTCACTTATGTCTTAAAGACTTTCCATATTAGTACTTATAGATCTATTTCAATTTTTAAAACAACTGCATAGTATTCCTTAGAATGGCTATTCCACAGTTTATTCAACCATTCTTTTATTAATGTCCATTTAAGGTGTTTTCAGCGCCCCACCTCCCCAGCGCTATACTAAATAGCTTTGTCCATGCCTCTTTTGGAAATTGCTTCTGAAGGATATATTTTGTTTTAATTTATTTATGTGTAAGGCTATTCCAATTACAGGGCATTTTAAATCATTATTTATAACTCAAGTAGAGAGCACAGAAATTCTTTCATGGTTATATGATGTACTGATAAAAACATTATTATAGATATTAGGGGAATGAAATAAGCACACATTCTTTTTTTCCAATTACAGTTGACATTCAATATTATTTTATATTAGCTTCAGGTGTACAGCATAGTGCTTAGACATTTATATAAGTTATGAAGTGATTCCCCGATAAGTCTAGTACACACCTGGCATTATATATAGTTATTCCAATAATATTGACTATATCCCCTATGCTGTACTTTACATCCCCATGACTATTTTGTAACTACCAACTTCTAAGCAAACAATCCTTGAAATCAAATCATATTTGTAAGCCCAGTAATATTGGAATACTCCTTACATATATTTATAGAGGTGAATCACATAATTTTTAATTCCTGACTTATTGACTGTTTATGATTTCACTTTTTAGTAAACTGATATTCCTTTCTCTAACATATCCACAGGGTGCGTTACTTAACCAGTGTTTTATTCTGAGAATGATCTTGTTAGATTCTCCTATAAAAGCTTGTTTGGGTTAATTAATTCAACAGGTAATTTTGAGAACCTGCATGTAACCAATACTATTCTGGGCACTGGGGAATATGGTAGTAAATAAAACACACACAAATCATTACCCTCATGGAGTTTTTGTGCTACTGAGTAAATAAATTCTTTGGAGAAAAATAAAGCAGGGTAAGGGGAGAATTTTGGGAGGGTTATAATTTTCAGTAGGGTGGTAGTGGAAGGCCTCACTGAGAAGGCAATGCCTGATAAAGCCCTGCAGGAGGGTAGGGAGTATAAGCCATGGAATATGGGGGTGGAACACATTGTAGGTAGAGGGGGCCAAGGCCCAAGGTAAAAGTGTACTTGGCAATTTGTTCTCATCACAAATGCTTCATTCTTGTCCTCAGTCTATTTAACCCTGCAGTATTAACTACTACGCCATTATTATCTTTACTCATTTATTTATTTTTTTAAAACTTGTGATTGCTTTGGACTGGCCTGGACAGCAATTGCTGTTTTCTTAAGCCGTCCAGGAATTCAGTAAAGCAGTTAGCAGTTTGATCAGTATAACTGAGTAGCACCACACGGCCTCCAAGTTTTCCCAGATCCTTTGGGCCTTTACTTCCCCCAAGACACTGCATTTGTCTTTAAAGATCTTTTCAGTCTGCCCTGGTTCAGTCATTTAGGCACTAGTTAGACCTGTGCTGTCCAACATGGTAGCCGTGAGCACTTAAAATACGGCTAGTATGAATTGGATGTACTGTAAGTGTAAAATACCAGATCTTGAAGAATTCGTCCCAAAACTGTAAAATATTTCATTTAATAAGTTTGCAATATAGCTTACATGTTGAAATGATATATTGGCTATATTGGATTAAAGTTTGCTATTATTTAATTTCACCTATTTTTCATTTTTTAAAATGTGGCTGTTAGAAAATTTAAAATTAGATATGCAGCTCGCATCCTATTTCTTTGGATAGCGTTGGATTAGACCCACTAGGCTGCGCGTTCTGGTCGGGAGGGACCCCAGCCTGCTTCCTTGAAGCAGCATCAGGCAGGTAGTGGCAGTTCCAGTCCACGGTGACAGCACTGTAATGTCTGGGATCGCTTCGAAGATGGAGAGCCCTGCAGAGTCCCAGAAGAAGGACTTCTGTTGTCAACAGTACTGACAGTGAAACACGGAAGTACTGCCTTCGGGGGACAGTGCGCTTGGAGACCAACGCCCGGCCAGACTGCAAGGATTTGGACAACTCAGCTCGTCGCTCCGCCTCTTTGCAGCAGAGCTCAGGCCAGTGCAAACCGGTTCAGTGCCCTGACGGACATCCCGCGTCACCCAATCCTCTGCATGGCCCCACCTCCCCACTTCTCGATGGGAGACCAGGAACGTCAAGCAGTCCCAGTCCCGGGAGGGGGCTCTGAACTGTACTGATAGCTGACGAAACGGCCGCTGGTGCCACTGGACAGTCGGTGACCAATGGTGTAAGTGCGGGGGCGGACCTTCGTTAACTCCAATCTCTCGCCGCCCACTCCGGTACAGTTCGCCCAAGAGCCTGTGGGCATGGGAGGAGGGGCGGCGGGGCGGGGCCTGAAACGGCTAGAGCATGCGCAGTGCGGCGCCCGCGACCGGCCCGGGGGTGACGTAGTCTCAGTCCGCGGCGTCCGTGTCCCGCCCCGCCCTCCGCGAACCCGGAGAGCGCTGCGCGGTCGGCGTCTGGATAGCCGTCACCTCCCCCTCCGCGGCCGTGCAGCACCATCTTTGTCTGCCGCTTGTGCTTTGTCCAAACGCCAGACCCTTGGCCTGTCGGGGACCGCCGACGAGCAGCTCCCGCGCCGCGCTGGCGTCGTCCTCGTCCCCCTCGCCGCCTCCAGCGCGCGGCCGGGCCTTGCCCCCCATGGTTTCCCGGCCTGAGCCGGAGAGCGAGGCCATGGACGCGGAGCTGGTGGTGACGCCGCCGGGGTGTACGCACCTGAGCAGCTTCAAAGTGGACAACTGGAAGCAGAACCTGCGGGCCATCTACCAGTGCTTCGTGTGGAGCGGCACGGCGGAGGCCCGCAAGCGCAAGGTGAGAACCCACCTCCTCACTTCCTTACCTCCCGAAACCGCGGGCTGGGCCGGGGGCCGGAGGAGACCCCTCCCTTTGCAGCGCTGCTTGGCACCCGCGGGATGGGGTGCTTCTGGGCCCTGTTAGGGGCGAGAGGAAGAGGGTAGGGAGGGCTTATTAGCCTCCCACGTACCCAGCCCGGGCTGCGCACGCCGGGGGTAGGGTGGACACGAGAGTATTCTTCTGTTTTTTCATTCCCCTCCCCCATTCTCTCTCCCCTTCCTCCCCCCGCTTTCTCTCCCTTCCCCCGTCTTTCTTCGCGTCTGGCCGCGGGGCGTGGGGTAGGGACTCAGCAAGGGCGGGGTCTCGGGACCGTGTCTAATTTCGGGGGTGGGCGAGTCCAGGTCTGGAAGGGGGCGGTTCTCTCTTCCTGGATTGCGTTGGAATCCTGGTACTGAGGACTCAGATGTCTTGACGTTCCAGCGCGAGGCCACTGGGAGGAATCCTCTAGGCGTGGAAGGGTTGGGGGTCGGGGATGCGGACTGAGAAAAAATAAGACAAAAACTAATAGGGGACAAAGATTATCTGGGGCCTGTGTGGTGGCCTGCTGCGGGTGAGTTCCCTGCCACCATCTTGAGTCTGCATTCTATAGCAGAGTATTCCATTAGATTACCTGGGCCAAGGGAATGGAACCGTGTGTCAGGGCTGGGGTTATTAAGACGTAATTACCGCTGTGCTTGACTAGAACACCCCACCGGGTCCAGAATCTACAAGAACATAGGGAGATGGCTTTTTTGGGGGGGGGCGGGGGGCCATTTCAGGTTTGGGCGTGGTTGCAGTCGCAGAGCAAGGTGGACAGTTAGAAATGTAGCGAATCATGGGCCTTTGAGAGCCATTTCTAGGAAAGCCATGTCGTTATCACCACAACGATGGAGAAGCACTGGTAGTAATGAAGAAGTGTATTTAAAAGAAAAGGTTAGTCTGATGGGAAGGTGGGACTTGGCGTGCTTTCTGCTGTAAGAGTCTTAGCGAGAAACTGATTGCTTCCCTGAGACAGTGAAGAAATAGTGTTATTTTTCAGGTGTACATCCCATCCAAGCGATTAGACTTATCAATCATTTGGAAATCAGGAAATAATGGTATTCTTTCCTCTTAATCTGAATAAACCTTGGTTTTACAGTTAAACAGGGCTTAGCAAGTTTACATCTGAGTTTGGGAGTCATTAGGCAATTTCCACCTTGAGTAGCATTTTTTTTTATGGGAAAAGTAACGGATCTGCTGATTTGGAGGTAATGTTAAGCTTAATTTTCTTATCAGTCATAGTATCGGGAAGCAGTCATTACTTAGAATGAACTAAAACCAAAGATGAAATAGATTTACATTAGGATTGAAGTTGAATTCTTCCTAATGAAATTGTGTGTCCTTTAAAATCTGCCTGGCTGAAACCGATGCTTTTCAGGTGATGATCTTATTACTGTGCTGTAGTCTTGGTCAACATTTATGTGATACAAGATTCATCTCCACTTGTATTAAGTAGGGAATCTCCTGCTCTTTTCCGTCTTCTTCACTCCCCTGTAATTTTTAACAAAGTTGGGAGTCAAGTTTAACCCATCCTTAACTGCCTAATTTTCTAAAGAAAAGCATCACTTTTTTTTAATTTAATGTATGTGGCTTGGATTAGTTTTTAACATCAGTTGCTTAGTTTGAAAGTTGTTGAAGGAATAACTTGAGCTGTAGACGGACAAGAGGTGGTGATAAATGTTTCTTTGAAAATTCAGGTCTGTCAGTATTGCAGTACCTTTTGGTAGTATACCAATCATGAACTATAACAACATTCTCCATCTGTTATTCTCTGAATTTTAGGGGGATCATTTTCTTGTATCAGTTTGAGTCCTGTGTAACTGCATTTCTAGCACTATCTAGTGGCCCAGTCAAGGAAGAGTTGGTTTGAGAAACATTTTAATTCTGCTGATTAACAGTGACTACACATTTTATTTAAAGTTTGCATAGGATTCGCAGCAGATCTATAAGCTTAGTACATTTTTGTTTTTAACCATAAGTTTCCTATAAAGATATGCTAACTTAAGTTATAATCTTTGTAAACAAAGGCGCCTTGTGAAGTTGACACTCTGCTGCAGTGTAATGATAGAAATGAATCCCTGGTGAACAGGAGTTAAACGTTTTCTTATCTAAGTACAGGTAGGTTATGGTTTTTGTATCCAAACTTTAATTTTTCTTTTCTGCAGAGTGAGAAGAACATGGTCAGATTTGATAACTTTCTGCCTGCTTTAGGCTTGAATTGCACTACTGACTAAAAATGTTTCATGATATAGGACTCAGTGCTACCACAGTGGCCTGTCCTGTGCATTTCTGGCATGTGGTAAATACAAGTGTCTTGCCACTTAAGGGTCTATATGTGAAGATAGAAATTAGCAATAAAAACATCCATCAGGGATTTTCAGTTTTGTTGGCTATTATGACTTAACATAGTCTACATTATATTTTGGCTGGGGTACAGGTAATGTTTTTAAATAATTTCTTTCTTTGAACCATTTCTGTGACTAAAATTTTACAGCAACTTGTCCTCAACACACAGAGCCCTTTTTGTAGCTATAGTAAATACTTTTACCAAATATATTTTACCACAAGTGAAGAAGAGTTGTCAAACATACTGCTAGTAATTTTGTACTGGTTTAACTTGAGTTTGGTTTAATTTGGGCAGTAATGTGGAGGACAGGAAACTGCTTTTGAGCCTTTTAAGGAACAGAGCTTAGGGTCTAAAGCAACTCTTTGGGTAGAAATTCTTAGGAAAAGTTTTTGTCTGGGAAAAGGGCTAGAAAGGATATCTATTGGGGAAATGATAGGTGAGAGGCCAGAGGGCTCTAAGATCCAGAAGTAACACCTTACTCGAGCATTCTTTTCTTTTTTCTTTTTTTTTAAATTTTAAGGCATAACACCAAAAAGGTGATTGATTTTCATTATTTTGCCTTTTTTTTTTTTTAAGATTTTATTGGAGAATTGGGGGAGGGGAACAGTGTTGGGGAATTGGGGAAGGGGACCAGCCAAGTTGTTGTTCTTCAGTCTCTGTTGTGGAGAGCGCCAGTCGCCATCTGGCTGCACGTTGGCAGCTCGTGGCCTCTAAGCTCAAGGTGCTGTGTTCAATCTTAGTTGCAGGTGGGCATAGCCACCATCTCATGCGGGAGTCGAACCGGCAGCCTTGTTGTTTAGAGCGCATGCTCTACCCACTGAGCCATCCGAGCAGCAGCTGAGCTCAAGGTGCTGAGTTCAGTCTTAGTTGCGGGTGGGTGTAACCTACCATCGAACAGGCAATCTTGTTGTTACATCAGTTGAGGCATCCTGCCACCTGTTGGCAGCTCAGCAACAGCTCAGCTCGGACGCAGCGTCACTGGCCCATGTGGGACTTGATCCGGCGGCCCTGTTGCTCAAAGCTTGCACTCTTAAGCCAACTCTTAACCAACTGAGCTACTCGGCCGGCCCGATTTTGCCCCTTTTTTGACATTCAATATTTTATATTTCAGGTGTACACCATAGTGGTTAGACATTGGTATAATTTAAGAAGTGATCCCCCTGACTAGCCCAGTACCCACCTGACACTGTACATAGTTATTACCATATTATTGACTATATTCCCTATGCTTCGCTTTACATCCCCATGACTATGTTGTAACTACTAGTTTGTACTTCTTAACCCTTTTATCTTTTTCACACTGCCCCCCAAACCCTCTCCCATCTATCACCCCAATAAATGTGGTACCCATCTGACACTATACATAGTTATTACAATGTTATTGACCATCTGCCTTGTGCTGTACCCTATGACTACTGTGTAACAACCAATTTGTATTTATTAACCCCTTCCCCTTTTTTACCTGCCCTCCAACCCCCCTCCCACCTGGCAGCCATCAAAATATTCTCTGTATCTATGAGTTTCTTTCTGTTTTGTTTGTTTGTTTATTTTGTTCTTTAGATTACACATATAAGCCAAATCACATTGCATCTGTCTTTCTCTGTCTTGACATACTCCACTCAGCACAATACCCTCCAGGTTCATCCATGCTGCTGCAGATGGCAAGAACCCATTCCCTTCCCTGGCAGAACAGTATTCCACTGTATATACAGAGGCTGCCAAAAATATGTATATACATTTTAAGAAAGGAAAAAACTATTAAAATTGTAATACGCAACGTACACCAATAACAAAAGAGGAATACAAGTCATGTGTATACAATTTTTTGACACCCCTGGTGTATGTGCCATTATCCATTCTTCTATCACTGGACACCTAGGCTGCCCCCACATTTTGGCTATTGTAAACAATGCTGCAGTGAACGTCCCCTCAAAGTAGTTTCTTTAGATAAATACCCAGAAGTGGGATTACTGGATCCTTTTCTGTGTCTTGTTATGGCCTTGTTTTAATGTCTGTTTTGCCTGGTATAAGTATTGAGCTTTTTTGTTTCTTGTTTTTCCCATTTTCATGAAATATCTTTTTTCCATCTTTCAGTCTGTCAGAAGTGAGTCCCTTGTAGGCAGCATATGTAAGGGTCTTGTTTTCTTATCCATTTAGCTACCTTATCTTTTGATTGGAGCATTTAATCCATTTACATTTAAAATAATTGTTGATAGATATGTGGTTATTGACATTTTATTCATATTTTTAATCTATTTTATTTTTTTCATCTTAAAGAAGTCCCTCTAACATTTCTTGTAAAACTGGTTTGGTGGTGATGAACTTTTTTAGCTTTTTCTTGTCTGGGAAGCTCTTTATCTGTCCTTTTATTCTAAATGATAGCTTTGCTGGGTAGAGTAATCTTGGTTGTATGTCCTTGCATTTCATCACTTTGAATATTTTGTGCCAATCCCTTCTGGCCTGCAAAGTTTCTGTTGAGAAATCAGCTGATAGTCTCATTGGAGTTCCCTTGTATGTAACTAACTGCTTTTTTCTTGCTGCTTTTAAGATTCTTTCTTTGTCTTTAATCTTTGGCACTTTAATTATGATGTGT